ACGCTGCAGTTTTTTGATCAGCATGAAATAGATGAAAACAATATTTTCAGGGCAGGTCGCCCAATAGTAGGAAACTATTGTATACTCTAACTAGAAACTTTGGCCTAGTTTCAACAAATTTTTTATTTCGTTACCTTATCATGGCTACAAAGCATTTGGTGGCACTATTAGAAGCTGTCGAAGGGATATATGTTACAATTTATTCGTCAATCCAAACAACACTGCATTAGACACCCTATACTTTGTTTGCTTATATTGCATGTCTTCCTTGTCGTCTTTTCAGGCATTCTATGTGACTAGTATTAGCCTAACATGGCGTTTGTGTTTTTTGTCATGTCGTATTATATTCTACATATGCAACACTACTGAAACTGTGCTGCCCGATATATCTTCCTTGACATTTTTTCAGGCATTATATGTGATATGTATTAGCCTAACCTGGCCCTTGTGTTTTTTTTTTGTTTGTCGAATTACAATATCCATATGCAAAACTACTGAAACTGCGCTGCAGGAAATTGCGCTGCTTTGCCATATTATAGGTTTTGGGTTTATGGGACCTATATCTAAAACACTGCCACCAAAATACTCCCGTTTCGTGTATTCGGAGAGCTTATTTCTTATTACAATTTGCTTTAATCTTACGTTTATTAAAAGATATGGTGTCTCAATAGTATTACCGAGATCCATAGATTTTATGCCCTCTCGTTGGCTCTGAGGATTTATGCTGCTATACCTTACAAACCTCTTATAGTGAAAATAAGGCAGGGGGAACGTAAGTCGCACTCCCTATATACACTTACAAAACAAATCATGTTTCTATTTTGTGGTCTCTTTTCGTTGCAGCTAGCTGCGATCATTCCGAACAACCAGACACAAACCTTATTTAGTGTCCATATTGCTCTTACGACTGTTAAGACAGTACCTGTTTCTGTGGAAATTGCACATCTCCCCCTCCCCCCTCGCACTTGCCACTCAACCCTATTACTTGTCACCTCACCTCGTTCTCCTGCTTCCACAATGCTGCGCTGTAAGTCTTTGCACAAAATGTATACTGAAGACAAATACATTATCGCAATAGTAGACTGAATGGCCGTCCACAGTTTATCTGAATCAATGTACATAACTCACTTCATAGAACAATTACAGTTTTCAAACGCTGCGGTTTGAAAACAAGCAAAAAAGCACTGTACATGCACATATGCTTAGAGGCAACTACTCACATGTACAGCAGTCTTAATTTTCGTTTTCTTATAAGAAGTACTAAAAAGCAGAAGGTTTGTGCCATTCGTAATTCGAAATAATATTGGAAACTTCGAGTGAAGCAAGCTTTAGTTTCATTGCACATAAAATTGCGACACCACATATATTGAAAAAGAAGTTTTCGTCAATTACTCTGCGTGGGCTCTAGTGTTCAAAGATGTTGTCTCATTTATACTTTCTTCTATTTAAACCGGTCAGTCTAAAATTAGCGAATAGACAACTTGCAAAGTCTTCCCAGAATGCGCTGAGGCATCTCGTGCACCATGTAATCAGCAGAATTACTTACACTCGAAATTTATCATATTGTAGCATGGGCTTCTCTCCTTAAAGTTCATTCGCCGGCTGCTGATGCTTTCTTCCCATCTCATTTTTTTTCTTTTTTTATTGAAGAAGTCTGTCCTTAAACACAGTAACTCGTGGTTTAAAAAATACACATGCGAACTTGCTTCGGGTATAAAGTTTCATAGTGAATGGTGGAAATATCCGTGAATCCAGTGGTCGAGTTCCCCAATGCGAGGTCGAAATAACTAGTGGGTATTTGCCATAGTGAGTATTTGCCAGTAGGCATTGACCTCCTTTCCATATCGACTAGCACGAACGCACGTGAGAGAAGCTCGAGCCTGCTCGTCCGCTTAATCAGTCGATTCACCTGACGTTCTGCTTTATTTGACATCTAATTAGATAGAAACGATGCCCCGCCGGGTAGGTGATAAGAAGCCGTCGTTCGGTGGCCTCACATACGTCATGCCCAGCCGTTCCCACCAGCGGTCACCACCTCGTCAACGAAGGACCACCACCATTGAACCGTCATGGCTGGAGGTAGAACCGGAGCGCGGAAATCACAGTCAACGTTCCTTCCTGGTCGTTCCACCAGTACCGATGCAGCGGCAGCATTTTGTCGACCCGAGGTCCAGTGAGACCAAAGAAGTCCTCGGTCCAGCCGTTCGTAGAGGCGTTATCGGCGTCCCTGTCTCTTCCTGGCCGAACGGCTCAGGGGGATTCCCGCTGCAAAGGGTTCTGTCGAGCTCGCAGGATTTCCACGCCGGAATTGACAGCTCGTCCTCCTACAGGGAGAGCCAGTTTTCGAGCGAGGACGCGGCGGCGGTCAGGAGGACTGGCGCCAGTCACGGGAACCTAACGTACAAGTATGTTAAGTGCTGCATCATTGTCTTGCGTTCTACAAATTCGGGTGCTATAGAGGGAAGCCTACAATAATATTACGTTGTGTATATTCTCCCGGCAACCGGGATAACTGTTAAAAAAAGTCTCCCGGTGGTCGTCTCCCATTGGCTCTCATATGTCTTGTGACTAACTGCCGTGGGGAGAAGAGAAAAAAAACTGGCTGCTGCGGGACAGACTGGGCATCCGTAGACTAGCGTGCGTTAGATTAGTTTAGGTTAGGCTGCGAGACAGACTGGATAGACGTGGCCCAGCGTGCGTTGGGTTAGGTTAGGTTACGTTAGGTTATGTTGAATAGATTTGGTCAAGTTCGACCGGTTGCCGGGAGAATCATACAAAAAATTCATCCCGGCAGTTAGTCACGTGACTTATGAGAGCAAATGGGAGGCGACTGCGGGGACAAATTTTTTGATCAATTATCTTGATTGCCGGGAGAATAGACACATTCATAATATTAGGGGACACGCCGTTATGTGGTACTCCGAAATACATACCACCAAAGCAGTTTTGCAGCTCTAGTTTACTCCGAAGCAATTTAGACCATTTGGGGATCTGTAACGTGAACTGAGGTCTAAGAGTACGCGTGTTTTCGTATTTCATGCCCACGCTCAGTCGAAAATTCCCAGGCCACTCTACCGCAGGAATACATAGGATAGTGGCCTGGGAACTTTTGACCCCCTCTACACATTTTGCCGCCTGTGCTTGGAGTCGAACCCATATTATTTTGCTTAGCGTAAAAATGCGTTACCGCTAAACTACCACACTGGGTAATGACCTTTGTTTTTGCATGCATGACACGTTTTTCTCAATACATCTATATTTCAGATGAAGAAAAGGTAATTGCACTTTGAGCCGCCATAATCGAGTTTCGTTTCACATTCTTACCAAAGGCACCGCGCTCCATCTTTCATGAACAAAACAAAAAAAAGCTAGCGCATGACAAGTTCATAGAGACATATATGCGAGGAGTAAGAATGTTGTTTTTCTATGCATTCATCCAAAAATGCGATGCGTTATGCGTTGTGTTTACTGTGTAACGTTTAGTTCACAAATTCTTATCATCGAGAACTCAGAGGCTCGATGGTAATCGTAACTTTCGTAGTAGAGGGTATTGCGTCACAGAAAGCTGGATTGCCTCATGAAGAACGTGGATGCAAAATCAGGATCTAATTTGCGTTTGGGCCATTTAATTTTTAACAGTGTCTTTTACGTGCGGACATTTTTAGGCACTCAATTTTGATTTCGACATAGGTACTTATAAAAACTACACTGGCTTTATAGATCGCTGTCATGAATTTCCACACCGATTTAACCAACTCACGGCGATCGTTCTCATGCCTCGCCACGGTGGTATAGTGGCTAAGTTACTCGGCTGCTGACTCGCAGGTCACGGGATCAAATCCCGGCTGCGGCGGCTGCAGTTCCGATGGAGGCGGAAATGTTGTAGGGCCGTGTGCTCAGATTCGGGTGCACGTTAAAGAGCCCCAGGTGGTCAAAATTTCCGGAGCTCTCCACTACGGCATCTCTCATAATCGTATGGTGGTTTTGAGACGTTAAACGCCAAATATCAATCAAAACTGGTGCCAATAATCGAGATCATTCACCTACAAAACCTCGTAAATGTTTTCGCGAATGTTAAACTGGCCCTGTCATAAAAAAAAAGAAACTGCAGCGACGACGTTGCCAGCCACCGCACGACGTACATGGCGCCTGCCTGGTGGTCGGAATCTGCCTCGGCCTCCTTGGAAGACCCCAGCAGCTTCACGGCTGTGACACGCCAGGACCCCAGCGGCCACAACGGCGGTGACCGCGGCAGCGAGGAGCTGCCCGCCCCGGCGCGTTCTGCCTGGCAGTCATGCCTGCCCGCGGTCGTACTGATGATACTGACGTCCCTGCTTCTAGGCACGGCAGTCACAACCGTGCTCCGGATGAACGACATACTGCCGGCGCCGGCAGATGAGACGCAGGTGACCCCGCACACGACAGGCGATGCCAGCGGGCCCAGCGAGGTTGAGGCGATGATGACACCCCGAAGGTTTTTTCTGCAGCCGACGATCGCTGCGGTCCGTCCGAGGTGAGATCATCTTATGTTATGCCACCTAACGCCTTCATTTGTATGTACTATGGCGTAATAAGTTCAATAGACGGAGTGGTTGGACAGAGGAGAGAACACGCAGCTAAAATATATACCGATAAGAAAAAATCACCAACTACGCAGCTCAAATTTACCACCAGGCAAGAATGTGTTATCGATATACCTCACGTCCTGTGAGTACACAGTGGACCGGAGACCATGGCTGCCGCTCGGTGCCACAACCGACTTGCGGCTTTCGCGCAAGCGTACTGAGCATCGAGCCTGTTGATCTTTCGTCGATTTTCCGTAGCGCGAATGGTTCGTTTCGCTAGTATTGGAAGCACCGCTGCAGACTGTTGCTAACGGCGACAGTGAGCTGCGCCTGCGTGAAAGTCCTTGCAGCCGGTGGTGGCGGTGAGCGCTATGTTGTGCCACTGAACAGTCGACCGCTGTTAACATTTTATATCACTGTTCAATGTATACGGTGCACCTGCACATTGATTATGACACCTCCCCAGGGCGACGTTTCGAAGGGCTCACCATAAGGCTGGACTCGAAATGGACAGTGGCCGAGAAGTAAAGACAGGCAGGTCGAGCTTCGAGAGCGCCCCGGCTGTTCACGCGAGACGACGCGGAATACACCGCAGCCATCTTGTTCGTCGTGCCAGCATGACCAAACCGGAGAATGCGACATCCCCGCCGTCCAACACTAAGACCGTGAGTACACGTCTGGTAGCCCATTTCTCTCGAGGTGGCTTAGGTACGAGCGAACTACGTTTCACTCCTCATACACGTGCTACACGAATCGCTCACCACATGCGGCCGCCACAGAATCGAGTGATATATGTTGTAGAGTGTTTGAACAAAATGACACCTTACGCAGCCATTTGAAAGGATCAATTTCACATATGGGGGCCATATCTGAAGGACATTACACGTCAGGATTTGAAAGAAAAAAAGACATGTTGATACTGATTTTCACAATGACTGAAGCATGTATGCCAATTCTGTAATATAATCCAGGCCGGGGCCCCCACAATTTTGATTGAGGCAAAAATGCTTGATGCCCGTGTACTTGCATTTACGTGCATGTTAGAAAAACCTCAGTGGGGGGGGGGGGGGCGAAATTTCAGGAGCCCTCCGCTACGTGACCACATGGTGCTTTTGGGACGTAAAACCCCAAGAGTTACTGTTATAAATTCTGAAACATAAAGCTTTCGCTCCAAAGTGGTCGTTAAACTCAAAGTGACTGCATGAGGTGCTTAACGAAAATAAAAAAAAGGGTTTAGAACAGTACTGTCTATGTGGCCCGAAGAAAGAGGTATGAATATCAATAAGCAAGAAAACATTGCGCCATATCCCACTAAATGGACCCATGAGTAGCATGCAAAGCAGCGCATGGGTCGACTTAATACAGAGTTTTAGTACTGCGGAATGGCGCTACGTACGCATCACGCAAGCGCCTTGCATTACGTGGCGTTGCTTGCCACTAATCAGCTTTTAGTACGTCGTAGTACCCGCGTACGTAACAAGCGTGAAACGTGTTGCGCCATCTGGTAGATCAAAATAGAAGCACGTGTTATTGACAGCCAATGTGGGCCAATCCAAGTGTTATAGCCAGATTATGGCCATATTTTAAGCCACAGAGCCAGTCGGTGCTTGCCTTCGATGCCGCCATTTTGCAAAACGAAGTCTCGCGCTTTCACGAACTTGTTCGAGAGCGGCGTGATCACCTCATACGTACGCACGCACGCATCTCATGCGTGCGTACGTAGCGGCTGCGTACGTAACGCGATACGTGCGCGTTGCGGTCTGCGCATGCGCACTACGCCGCACGTGGCGTCCTTACGTACGCAACGCCGCCACGTACGCAGCGTACGCAGTACTAAACCTCTCTAATGTTATGTAATCCATCACGGGCACGTTGCCCGATGTTAACGCGTCCTTGCAAGTGGAGCACACCTAGAATTTACTGTAGTTTTTGTTGCTGTTACTCGTCCCGAACTCTTGTTCAAAGCGCGCCACTTGGGTTCATCGTCACGCCTCGCGGGAGCGCGCGGGTTCATCACCCGTCCGCACCATCTCGTTTTCCGACGGCATCACGTGATTGTTGTGAGAGTGTAAAGGGGAGAGGCCACGGTGTTCTACCCAGCCCCTCGCAGGCAGGAAGGCGCCAGCACGGGACCACGTTCTGGTGGTGCTTGGGCCAGCTGTTGCGCATGCGCGTTAAAAGCGGTTGCGCACGCTCGATTGAGCTTCACCATAAGCGGCTTCACATCTAATGCGGGTACTATTTAGCAAAATCACAACACTTTATTCCGTGAACGCGTGCCGCTAGAGAAGCGTTCCGCGGGCTGAGTGTTTGACAGCCCCTATTTTAACTGATGTTTGTGTGACATGTGCACCAACATTACGCAATCCTGTACAGCCGCCTTTTTTTTTTAGCATGAATGGGCGAGCATCGACCACCGACTCCGTAAGCGCCTTTTGGGGCACCCCGATGTCTGGTTCCCGGAACAGTTTATAGCATAATACAGGCGCATAGGACTGTTAATTGCTGGCGTGCGCGTATCCTCGTTCATTTGACCAGTTTGCTCCGTTAAACCACTCTTATCGACTGTGCGCGTGATCGACGTGCTCGGGTAAAACAAATGGGGCGGCTGGACACACGCGTTCTGTTATTTCAAGTAAACATTTGGTCTAAGTTGGTCCAAGTGTGTGTTATTCCACTTACGTTATAGGAGAACCAGCTCAACCTGCTTTGACGTCATCACTTGATTTTCATTCCCAGGCTGTACCCGGCTGCCAGGAACCCTCTCACACGTACTGCACGGGCAGCGAGCCGGAATACTTCTACAGCAGTTTAGCGGACGCCTGCGTGCTCGCGTCTGAAAACCCCGTCCAGCTATGCAACAGAGGCCGGAACAAGTTCTCCTCGTTGAATCGATGCGAGATGCACTGCGTGCGTGCTGAGCAGCCTCATCTCGACTGTCTAGAGAAGCCACAGTTCACCGCTTGCAAAAGGCAAGATTGTTTGGTTACAATCCCTAAATGGGCCATAACACGTAAATTTGGATCATAGTCTGCAGTGTGTTTGTGGGCTAATTCTTCATTCTTCATTCGCAAAATTCTGGGGAAATCATAGCCCATTTCATGGATTCATTAATTCAAATTGAATACATTTATAAAGGCATAAGGTGCCTGACAGTAGGGCAACACTGGCGCAATCGCGATCCATGACGCAACAAGCAACTAGCTGTGCGAGCGTCTACATAGCGGTGAAGAATAGTGCGTGAAATCGAGGCAATGCAGCTTTCTTTAGCTGGGCCCTAAAATTGAACGATTTGCAATGGCTGAAATCAATTGGGTATAGAAGACGGCGGCTTTGCTCCTTGCAGCAAATGACGTCACACGCGTCATTGCTAAATGGCAATCGCCGGCGTTTACAGCCGGCAACTTCTAGGGCTTGTTTTGCGCTGAACTATCATTTCACAGCCCAGTATTATCATTTACATAAACATAAAGGACCCAACCACTCATCGAGCTTGTAACCCTTGTCCCAAACTCTTACGAATGAAGTTCTTTTTTTCTGCGACGACATAGCACAACGCACGGGCCTATTCTATAGATGTTCTAACGTGATATCTTTAAAGAGCGCGTTTCCCAGAAATGCAGGCGTCGGAGTCGTTGATTGTGAGTGCAAAACCAACATCTTACGCGTGAACGAAAAGTTGAGAACGATGCAAACAAAATTAACGATTAGAAAATTCAGGGGCACAGTGGAAATCGAACTCGGCTCATGTGGGTCTGAGTGGGGATCGAAATTGGGTCGCTTGCGAGGTGAGCGGATGTTCTACCACATATAGCCATGCGTCTTCTTGCCAATACGATGAAAATAACTTACTGTGCTTGCAAATGCAGTGAAAGTAACACATGCTCCACGAACACAGGCGCCCTGTATACATCCTTTACAATACAACTTTAAATATTGGAACAATAATTCGTGGTACAAGCGCCCATTGCCAGCGGGCGTCAGAACATGTGGTTATCATGATGACTCCGTGATTTAAAGTCGGTCACCCGCTACAAAAGGCACACACGCCAGTTCGCCAATTTCCTTAAAGCCACTTAGTGGGTGCATAGCAAGTTCGAAAAGGTTTCATGCACTAAGTGTTCAACTCTTAAAGACGAATATTTAAGGTCCCTTAATTTTTATATATAACTGTTTTTCTGGATAATGAATAGACCACCCTGCCCCGCCATGGTGGTCTAGTGGCTAAGGTATTCGGCTGCTGACCCCGCAGGTTGGGGGATCAAATACCGGCTGTGGCGGATGCATTTCCGATGGAGGCGGAAATGATGTAGGCCCGTGTACTCAAACTTGGATGCACGTTAAAGAACCCCAGCAGGTGGTCAAAATTTTCGGTGTCCTCTACTACCGCGTCTCAATCAAATGGGGGTTTTGGGACGTTAGACCCCCCAAATCAATCAATCAGATAGACCACCCTGAAAAGTGGATGTTTATAGCATTCCTTTCAGGCACGAATAATGCACTGTCTGCGAATGCGGAAAGTTTGCATGGAATTGTTGCAAGTATACTATGTATTCCTTGTTATCTCGCAAAAAGAAAATGTGTTGTTTAGGGTGAGCTTCGATAATGAATGTTAAAGCATGCGATTAAATACCTCATTCATCTACAATCAGTCAGCTTGAATTTCTGCATAAAAAGAATGAAGTAGTAGCCCTAAAATATATGCGCTGTATGTTTTTATTCACTTTGAACAAAAAATAAAAAGAAATCCTGACATTGATTCTGCAACGCCGTCTTTTCAAACAATCGTCTCGTCAAACATGGTAGGGTGTCCCGTGAAGTGATCCTGCACAGCAATACGCAGCAGAGTTAAGATAAATGACCACTACTTGTCCACTTAAGAAGCCTGCACGAATGCGCACACTGCATTTCGAGCAATTTGAATAAACGCGTGGTGACTGACAGTGCCTCCGAAATTTGTACACAGTTACACACAGCGCATAAAGGGAATATTTTGCCGGTCTAAGCTGCAAAGTTGGCCACAAGGAACAAGAGGTGGGCTATGGATTTATTTTGACCGCATTAGATTTCTATCTAGCTTAGCCTAATCACGGTACAAGCTTCAAAATTGAATGGCGGGCTATACAATAAGACATATTCTTGCACAAGAAAAAAAATGTTCAAACATTCTTTTTTTTTTCATACGCACCCCCTGGTAATTGAAACTGTACTAATTTCGTTGCGTATGTGTTTGACTGTCCGTTTCTGTCGAAATGAAGGTGGTCGTGACAGTCGGCCGCTGTATACAGAAGAGTTCAACACTGCCACTGCAGCTGACTTCTTATAATATTGCATCAACGCAATGATTTCGATCACGTGTGTTTTGATACAACCTAGTTACTTCCTCTTCATTCATAACTTTCGTATGGCTCTCAAGCATGCATTGTCTAACTTTAGTTAAAACTGAAGCGTGATATAAAACTTGTGCTCACGCAACGTGAAGATGTTCCTTTTTTTATATCTGCTGCATAAAAAATCTGTCGCACACATGTCCCTGCCCATTTCTCTGAACGCAACAAATATGCCAACTCATTTTTCAACATTCCGACTTTCGTCGTCTTCTTAATTTCTGAACCAACTGATTCTGTCAGGCCAATGTGGATGGGATCTATTTGCAATATAATGTGAAGGAAAACCTGACGGCGTGTTTCCGTTGAGCAGTTGACTGTGAATGAGCACAAGTATTCTTCTGGGCACATTGGTCCGAGATACGTTTTTGATCGACTACCACTTATCATTTCATGCTCATTAAAAAAACAGAAGCCGCTGCGGACAGGTCCAGCGCTTTACATCGACTCACGAAGCAAGGAATATAGGGGTATCGCTTTTGTACAGTCTTGGCCTCCGCATTTCGCTCCAGCAACGCGCATTCGTCCGAGCTAATCCCGGAGGCCAAGGGACAATCAAGTAAGTTCAGATTTCTCCGGTGGGAAAACCACAAAAGCTAGGCTAGCCGCAGAAACTTGAGTTGCGGACATAGATTGCCAGGCGAGAATAAACTATAGCGTTGTTACCAAGCGGCTATCCTGTCATGCAAGTATGCCCAGCAATAAAACAAAGAAATGTCACCGATTGTTAACGAAGTTGGCTGATACTGTATCTGCCCACGGCAAGTACCTTCATTTGAAGGCGTTGCATTTCCGTATTTCCAGTGATGACATGAAGTCATCCCCGTGGTACTTTGACGGCAAGAGGTGCACTCCGTGGGATTTCCCCACTGGACGATGCCCGTCCAACGACAGCCTGGTGTTCACCACGGCCTCCGACTGCGCCACTCGCTGCTCGGACCCACGATTCGTGGCTTGCTCGTTACCGCAGCCTGTGGACTGCGAGCACGAGCAGCAGCGTTTTCCGTACTTTGCGGTCCATTCGCTGGAAGGCGTTCGTTGTTTGAGTGCGTCGGCGGCCGAACTCCGAGGCCACCTCTGTACGGACGGGCTCAACCGATTCAGGACCGCGCAGGCGTGCGAAGACGCTTGCCGAAACACTACAACGTAGATGACAATGAAAATAAACTGTTTCGCCTAAAGTTCTTTTGTCGTTGTAGCCGCTAAGAGCATGTCTGCCTACTTCAAAAGGCATCCACTTTTAAGAAATGTTTTTTCTATATATGTTTGCTTGGCCATTTCATTTGTCTATGTTGACATGTGCGTCTTAGCTATTCCACAGCCTAGCCCCGCCGCGGTGGTCTAGTGGCTAAGGTACTCGGCTGCTGACCCGCAGGTCGTGGGTTTGAATCCCGGCTCCAGCGGCTGCATTTCCGATGGAGGCGGAAATGTTGTAGGCCCGTGTGCCCAGATTTGGGTGCACGTTAAAGAACCCCAAGTGGTCGAAATTTCCGGAGCCCTCCACTACGGTGTCTCTCGTAATGATATGGTGATTTTGGGGCGTTAAACCCCACGTATCAATCAATCAATCAAGATGTTCCACAGCCTAGACATTCCCGAAAGAGGCCCGCGAGTAATACCCTCGCGATAGACATAATGCGAAAAGAAGACGGCATGGAGGCCAAGTTCGCACGAGAGAGACAGTTTGACACGACCTTAGTCGTCATTGCGAGAAGTTGAGCCAGTCAATTTAAAGCACAAACGTCTACATATCATATCTGAGTTAGCGTTTCGCCTTACTTGTTATTAATAGGTAAAATTTCAAACCGTTGCATGTGTTGGACAATGAGCCCGCTCCGCAACCGCCTGAGTAAACTGAATGCACGTTAAAACGCTTCCACACTACCTGGCGCGGGACCATGTGTGCTATAGCCATGTTCTCTTTGCACAGATTTAAAGGGCCCCTAAACTACCCTAAGTTCAAAGGCAGTCTTCCACACAGACCTAGACATAGGGGGCTGGTAAGAGCTGAACATACCATTGAGAAGCGCAGCCTGACAGCGTATATAGTCTAAACCTTTTCTTCCCCCCGCACCCCTAGAGGAATAGCATTGTCAATTGTTTGTTTGTTTGTTTGTTTGTTTGTTTGTTTGTTTGTTTGCCCGTTTCATCCTGGCGCAACCCACCACGGGAGATCGGCCATGAAACGAATGGTGTCTTGCTATTTAAAAGGAAATGTTCATAATTTCGAAATGTTAAGTTTAATGAACATGCTTGATTTTGATAATTTTTAACGATGAAGTTAGCATTCTATTCTTTCCGTCTCCCGGCTCACTCAAAACTGGGTCAGTAGCTCTTTTCTCGCCTTCACTACCCTTCCTACAAGGGCTTTCACCTTCTGGCTACCTATTTCTTGATAAAACGCACGGAATCTCAGCGCCAAGTGTCGAGCCAGTCACTGCTGCGCTCTTTTCAACTACACAACGCTGCCTCTGCTTGCGGCGTTGTAAATGCATAAGGCAAATTTTAAACATTTATCGCGCACGGTATACATGCTAGGCAGGGTGGTACAGGCATGCCACTGCACGCTAAAGCTGAGTATATTTCGCATATCAACCAATCAGGAGCCTGTTCCTTCCTCACGTAACTAACTGCAGGCGTCGCGTATTTTACAGTGACTACGGTGACGGAGCCGGTCAGTGCCAATGTTGCTGAAATAAGTTTTAAACGCCAAAAATTTCTTTGCATACTGAGAGCACCTTTGGCGTCTATCTATCTATCTATCTATCTATCTATCTATCTATCTATCTATCTATCTATCTATCTATCTATCTATCTATCTATCTATCTATCTATCTATCTATCTATCTATCTATCTATCTATCTATCTATCTATCTATCTATCTATCTATCTATCTATCTATCTATCTATCTATCTATCTATCTATCTATCTATCTATCTATCTATCTATCTATCTATCTATCTATCTATCTATCTATTTATCAATTGATCTATTTATCAATTGATCTATCTATCTATCTATCTATCTATCTATCTATCTATCTATCTATCTATCTATCTATCTATCTATCTATCTATCTATCTATCTATCTATCTATCTATCTATCTATCTATCTATCCGCCTACGTCTGGGTGCTCTCATGATCACCACTTGGGGTACACCAAATTTAGTACGGGAGGGTAAGATCGTTTCACGAATACGACTCGGTGGTCATCATGTGAACAATGTCCAAGTCTCACCACATACGTCATCAAACTTTCCAAAAAAAAAAAGTGCCACGCAGCCGGGGTGGGTACGGGCCACTGGTACGCTGGTATGTGCCACAGGTGATAGAGTGATAGACAACTTATATCTTCTCAGGAACGGCGAGAATAGGCATGGTTACACTTGAGCGTTAAGGAAAACTTGGCACACACCATTGACCGGAAGAATACAAATAATAAATGTCAGTGCCCTAGCAGGAACCGAACTTTAGCATTCTGCGTGGCAAAGTATTCTACCAAAGAACCACGCCAGGTCTCGGAAATACTTTGCAAATAGACCCCCAATATTCGTGAAACCTTCATTCTGCTTGCAGTACTGGCTATCAAATTTTATGAACATTGCATAATCTGCTCCTGTGATACATTCGTCGCTTCGGATTAACGTCTGTTGTAATTAGGCGCCGTTCACTGTGGCTGACTTGTGTAGCAGGGTGAGCCCCAGCGCAAACACCAACGCTTTATATCAGCTTACCGCTCACTCCTTGTGTTGCTAATATTTATGTTGCTGTTGACATTGTTATGCAGCTGTAAACAAGCTCTTGTACAAAACATATGCGTCTGTTTAACGTAAGTGTGTGCGTGGATTTGGCGTCCGACGGGAAGATGGCGACCGCTACCTCGCTAGCCGGGCACCCTCCATTTGGAAAGTCCCAATGCTGGCAAGACCTCCCATCAAAGAACTACCATGTGGTCTTCAAGTCTTGCCTGCAGGAAAACAAAACTTGTGTTTTAGGAAGACAAGTGCATATTTCTGCTATCTCCAGCCGAGACGTGTGAGCAGTGTCGCAGCTTTCAACTCAAAACAGACTTGTCGGTTTAGAGCGACGCGCAATAGAGAAAACAAAACTGAATGCAGGAACAGCGCAACCTAGAAGTAGTTACTTCGTAATTGCGGAAGCGAAAAAAAAAACAAGTACACGAGGTAACTACTAGTTACGAAGTAACTACCGTTCTAGTTACGAAGTAAATACTTCTAGGTTGCACTGTTCCTGCATTCAGTTATGTCCTACCAACTTGCCCAAGTTTCCACGCTTCATAAGAAAACAAAAGCCTTGGTTTTGGCCCTGCGGCTTATGAAGCAAGATTGAATGATTGATATGTAGGGTTTAACGCCCCAAAACCACCATATGATCTTGAGAGACGCCATAGTGGAGGGCTCCAGGAATTTCGACCACCTGGGGTTCTTTAACGTGCACCCAAACCTGATCACACGGGACTACAACATTTCCGCCTCCATCGGAAATGCAGCCGCCGCAGCCGGGATTCGATCCCATGACCTGCGGGTCAGCAGCCGAGTACCATAGCCACTATACCACCACGGCGGGGCAGATGAAGCAAGACCAGCAATACGTTTTAGTGTATGATAAAACCCAGTGCTTTGTCTAATGCCAATGATAACACCTCGGGCTTATTGCGCCAAAGTCTCGACTTGACTGAGGTGCGCCGGGGTGGAGGGCTCCGGAAATTCTGATTATGTGGAGTTCGTTAATGTGCCCTGTCATAGCACAGTGCACGGGCTTCTGGAATTTCGTCGCTATCGATATGTGATGGCCACTTTCAACATCCGACCCTCGACCAGCAGCCGAGCATGGTAATCGCTACACGCATGCACCGCTAGCGTTTTCTAAAAATAAAGTTTAGTTTGAAGTGAGCGCTCGTCTTGTCTTAGCTAGTCCAGTCGTGTATTAGCGTCACCCTTCCTTGAACCCATCTTTGGCGCTGTGTTCCCTCCAACGTTCAACCAACACGCCGAAGCTAAGACGCTATAAGACCCCAAAAGAAGCTTGCCTTTGTCAGGGCAAGTCTATATTTGTCGAAACGTAGCTCCGGAAGACTTTAAATGCTAAGGTAACACCTGTGGTCAAAGTTACACGGCACCCACCACACGTCTTTCCAAGAGGTTGTGTCGCTTTGGCAAGACTCCGTATAAACAACTCATATGCTTCACTAAGCACGCGACAGATGCTGCAGCAGCCCAGTTGCTGCGACGTTGCGCAAAACAGGTAGACAGTTAAGTGAACTTTTCAGCATTGTCGCCACTGCTCTCTTTACGCAGCCCCGAAAAAATGAAGCTCTTAAATCCACCCATTGATCCACTCCGCCTCACTTCATTGGCTCCTAAGCATACGTGCCTTCCACAGGCTGTGAAGAAAGGTTTTTCCAGGCATCCGTCATTGAGCTTCTCGCTAAGGACTCAGCGCTTCTCGCACACTTGCGCTGAGGAAAACCTGTTGGGACTGCAGTTGCAGACACCGAAGCGTGACGCCGAGTCCCTAGCACCAGATTCGACACAACCGTTCACCGCGCGACTGCAGCGATACTCCTGGCGTGTCTTGTGACAGGTCGTGTAAAACGCACCGTTGCAGCTGTGCTGTGCCTGCAAGAGATGGTGAAAAGTATGTGCAAGTGCACTCACGTGGCTAGTATTTTGTTATGGTTTTTTAGAGGAGAAGCTCCTTAAGGCGTGGCTCTGTCCATCCTTTGTATGCATGTATTTAGTAGTACGTCGCCACCGGTGGCACATACCCGCTCTAGAGCAGGTATGTGCCACAGGGCATGCGAGATGGGAGATGGCGGTACTTGGAGTGTTCACTAGATGGACGCACGGATGGACGACCGGATGGATAGACGCGCGGACGTACGTATGGATGTACGCGCGAGCAGACAGAGTGATGGATGGTGGACTCATTGACCGACGCATGGAGAGACGGATGGACGCATGGATGGACGCACGGATGGTCGCACGGACGGACGGAAGCAAGAACGGATGGACGGAAGCACGGACTGGCTGATCTACGTTTTGTCCCACTCATCATCATTCACTCCGTGAATGATGCTGTGATTTTTTCGCCTGCGCAGAAAAACCTCGGCTTATGGTTTGAACA